AAAAGGGGGAGTTTAACCTTACAGGGTTTAATCGAATCTGTGAATACGCGAATTGAAACACTAATTAATGCATCCGAGCAATCTCACTTCGGACTTTCAAACTATAATTGCAATGAAAATACATCTGTGTTATTAAATAATTTTATAATTATTATTGTGAGCTTTGGATATTTCAGTAAATTTAATTGGATGGCTTTGTGAGATGATTTTTATTTGTGAAATTCCTGTTTTATTAAGGATTCCGTTGAATTGGAATAAAAATGGCTCCATGATTATTTAATAATTTACTATTATTATTGTTGTTGTTATTATTATTATTGTCGTTGTTGTTGTTGTCATTATTTTTGTTGAAGAAACCCGGGTAAAAAAAATTGTAATCGAAATAGTTTTTCCAAATTTTCAAAAAATTTCTGGAAAACTTTTCAAAAATTCGTTTTGAAAATTTTTTTTATAATTTTCTAGAAATTTTTGCGAATATAATTTTTTCTTTTAATTATACTGTTTTATAAAATTATAAAAAAAAAAATCCTATTTAAATTTATTATTTATTATTTTTTTTTTGTTTTTTCCTAAATTTTTCAGAATCTTTCCAAAAAATAAAATTATTTTGATTTCTGATTTTTTGGTGTTTCATAAAAAAAATTTTCTGAAAAGTTTTCCAGAAATTTTTGGAAAATTCGATTACAATTTTTTTTTACCCGGCAATAAATAGGTTAACTCAACTTTTTGAATAATTAAGAAAAATCAAAATAAGCAATATATCAATTAAATGCTAAATTAGATTGAATGTAACAATAATATAATGCCAAATTCGATGATAAAGAGAGCGAAAGATTTTCTCGATTTGTGTGAAATTTGTTCAGATCCAAGCAAATTGACACTATTCATAAAATTTTTCAATAATTCCACAACATTTCAATGCTTTTAAATTGAATGCCCAAAAGTTCCTGTAACTATTTTGCAAAAATCATTAAAAAAGAAATAAATAAAAATTATGATAAAAAAACAGAGAAATATCGATAATTCTTCATGAAATGAATTTTCTCATGAGGAAAAACGGATGAAAAAAGAAATGATGAGTAATTTCCTACCACTGAATTCCATTCAGCACAACATACTCAATTACCGCGAATGGGGGGAAGCAGATGGGGTAAAAAAAAAAATAACCAATTGGATTTCCGTTGATCGAAGTATCCATTATCTGAGACGTGGGTGGCTATTCAATCTGCAGTTATCAGAAGCGACTAAGAAAGGTCGCGATGTGGAATGGTCTGAAACGAGGTTATACTAGTAGTAAGAAGTCAACCGGAAGATGAGAAAGACAGGAAAGAGGAAGGGGGCGTTGATATAATGAGAGAAATAAAGAGGGAAAGGTAGGGTGGGAGGGGGTGGATACAGAATGACTTTTAGTCAAGAAAGTGTTGGAGGAATGGCAAGAGGTTTGAGAAATTCCGGGTTCTGCATTTGAGACTTCTTCTTGGCAAAGTTTTGGGGTGTGAGGGTGCCACATCCACCCACTTTCCACCTCCCATTCCACTGTTTCCTCCACTTCTTACGATCTTTTCCTTCTCTCTGCCCTCTACTCTCCGACCGTAATAACGTTATGACGCGATGAAAGTTTAATACCGTTCGCCCGGAAATTTAATATCTCCCCCCCCCCCTCCCCCTCACCCCCCCAACTTCTTTATCCATTCCTTCTTTGTTCACTATCTTTCTTAGGTATTCTCTCAGCCTTGCGTCCTATTTTTCTTCGTTATCCTGTGATGAAAAATTATTGGATGGAGGAGTGATGAATACGGATCCTGTGAAAATGTCAAATTTTTTCGACAAAATCCGCTCGAATGCCTCTTTCAAACATTTTTTATTCCTCTGGCAGTAATTTATTCCGTCAGGGGAATTATGTATCAAATTGAAATATCGTATCGATTTTTTATATATTATTTAATACGACCGTGCCATCTGGATTGATGGTTTCGATAAAAATAATTTTTTTCATTGTTCAACGATGTAATAAGTTTAATATAAACAAATATTATTGAAACCGAACAAATTAGAATTTTACCTAGATTAAATGACGCGCATTATTAAGGACATTTAACCGATACCGACAATCTTCAATACAGTCTACATTTTTTTATATAATAACTAGGAGTATGAACCATACGTACGTCACATTTTCGATCCCCCGATCCATCCATATTAGTGAGATAATAATTAGTGAAAAGATCCGTCGGTAATACAGGATATGCACTCAATATAAAATCATTGAAAAAATTAATTCATTTAATTGACAGTATGGGGAATATTTTGCCGGCGAGAAAAATAAGGGGGTAGCCGATACAATACGCGAGAGATTTGTGATTGATTTTCAAAAAGATCTGAAAAAAGTGGCCGCCATGACGATTGTAAAATATTGACAACGATGCTCTTACAGCTGAGCAATGTCGGCAAGGTAGATGACGATGAAACAGGGATTGCGTTACTACAGTGGTCAATCATACGCCAGTGTTTACAAACATTTTCCATATTTCTTCATAATTCGAACCGGAAAGTCTGCCACGAGGCTCATAAATTAACGGACAAAATTATTTATATCGTGAATGATTTATTTGAATTTTTCTAATTTGATTGTCCGACACGGTTGCTCACTTGAACAGTTAAACATCCTTAATACTTTATTTTTCCATTTTTGACTGCTTTTTTAGAGACCCCCACTTGGAAGTCTATCAATCGACAAATTGCTAAATACTTCATTAACCAATTTATGTTTATTTAAACATTAAGAAATGTTTAAAAATACGAATAGAAATATTTTTAATGGCTATATGTTTTACTTCAGGTATCCATATTACCCCCACCTCCTCTGAATAAATGTTTCTCATTTATATTCTTTGTAAATAGAATAATTAAAAAATTATTCCAATCCAATCGATTCAAATTGAATAAATTCGAAAGTAATTAAGATTTATTTTAACCTCGTCATCATTTATCATTAGTTCATTATTTATCAAAGTAATTAGTTATTGATTCTAACTTCAATCTTCCAAACACTTTATCTAATTATGCAGTAACAAATCTTGAAAAATGATTTTCATTTCATCATTTTCATAATTGCTAACAAAAAGTTTCTCGTAAATCTTCGACATTCCAGAACTGAATAAATAATTGCCTGAGGCTACACTAAATTAATTTATTCCGGCATTCAACCATTGGATTCCAGGAGAAATGAAATTCTGAAGGAAATTATTTAAAATGCTGTTTCAGGCGACTCAATAAAAGAGAAAGTGGAAGACTTTTTGTATTTATGTGGTAGTATTGAAAGACATCATGACGAACTTGAGTTAAAAATTGTTTGAATACATTACATTTATATATTTTTTCCACTCGACATTTCTCCTTTATCCCAAATGAATTTGAAGAAAGAGAGTAAAAAAACCCAAGAGGCTTCTCTTTACTTTCAAAGCTCCTTAACTAAAAGGTGAAAATACGAGTCCCCCTTTTTCGCAATACACACGTGTTTGACTTTGTAGGAGGGAAAAGCTGGAGTATAAGTAACAAGAGCTTTTCTTCCCTCTATTTTACTTTCATTTTTTATTTTTTGGCTTCACACTCCTTTTCTTACATTATCACGCGTCACAGGCGTTGTTTTTCATTGAATTTACTCACCCCCCATTTTAAACAATGTCAAAACAGTCGGTAAACTCACGAATAACTCACATCATAAACAACACAAATAAAAATAGCAGAGAGAATAAAACGGGAAAAATATACGGAGAGTTGAAAATTGAAAATTCGAATATTTAGAGACAAAGCAAAACTAATCGGAAACCTAGTCCGATGTCATGAAACCATTAAATCACAATTGTTCTCCAGCTTTTTTTTCTTTATCCTGTCTGTCTAATTATAGTGGTTTGTCTATAGAAAATGAATGTTCTATTTTCATTCCGCCATTTCAATTTTGTCAAATTGGATAGTAATTTTTTAAATATGTTTTTCTCAACAATGGGGTAAAGCTACAATATTCAACAATATGTATGCTAATTGCAATTATTGCATTTGATTATGTAGTCCGCTCATAAAAAATCGCTCATAATGCACCATAAATCAAATTTATTTATTACTTAAATTTTTTTTTTCAGTTCGTACGTTTTCTTTCTGGGGGTGATCTTGCAATGCTTATCAATATTTGTTGTTATAATCTTCCCATATTAACAGTATTAACTGCTAATTGCAAGGAATCAGTATCTGACCCAATGGGACCATAAAAAATAGTTGATAACGTACCATCAGATGAATTCTTTTATCACTTTAATGTTTTTCTTTTGAGTACAATGTATTCTCTTTCCTGACGAATTTTTTATTTTCAATAATGGGATGAGAGTGAATGAAAAAGCAGTGGATACCGGTAATACCCTGACTCGGGTTGTATATCATTCCGGTTTAATGCCATTGGCGATTGGGTGGTTGCAGCGGTCGGAAGCGGAAGTTGAGAGAGGGAGATGTGGGGGATGAAAAGCTGCTGTGAACTACCACACTATTCAGACCACTACCACTGCGATTACCCCCGACTGCAATGGCCCCCAACGATCTGACTCTTCGTTAATGCCCCAACCACTCCAGTTCACCTTTTTTTTTTTACCTCCACACAACTTTTTCTAGTGATTACTCGAGGAGAGGGACTGGGCGACATCCGCTGGAGTGAAACTTTTGGTCTTCCTCCAATAAAAGTTGGCACATGCTGCCAATTGATAAATGTCGGGATGATTCTGCTGCCAATGCCTTGATATCTACTGATGGAGACTCCAGCTACCAATGACTTTTGGGGGTTTAAATTTTGGTGGATTGGTGGATTGATTATGGTAGGACGTGATCAATGGTCCTAGAGTATGTGGGTAATTGAGTATTGGGCAGAATGGAGACGCTGGAGAAGACAAGGACAAGAAAAATTTTATCTGGATAGAAGTAGATTCTGAAGAATTTGTTAGTGAATGTTTAATTACCTTTCTTCAACTTATCGGTTGAAGTTGGTGAATCAGCACTAGCATGAATTGGTGGTCCCGGTGCTGGTAGAATAGTGGAAGATACAACTGGTGTACAGGAGGCAACCGGACTAGCCGCTGCTGCTGGCAACAAAAGTTTCCTCTTGTGGTTGCACAGCTTTGTCATCTCTCGTGTCTTCCCTTGATCCGGACTCCAAGGTCTCGTTGCAACCTGAAAAAAATAAACAGTGCAATTGAATTGTTTTATTCTCCATTTTATCCCACTTATCCATTACCACTATTTAAGTTCATTTATTGCATAATAATCTCATGTTTGTCAGACTTTTTTATTTTTCAGTTTAAATCGTTATTCGTCATCTATTTCACCCTCTCACCCGCCCAAAAATCTAATTATTAACTTCAAATTTGAACGAGATTTTCCATTGGAAAAACACTTAATTGAACGATTAGCTGCGGAGATATTTTTAGTGCAAAATGATTTTGTGGAATATCTCAGAATGAACAAGATCTAATTCGTTTTCTTATCTGAAAATTTTAGTCTAATACATTCTTAATATGTACAACATTCAACATTCTTAACAGATCCGACCTAATAAGAAAAACCATATCGTAAAAACCATTCGGAAGATCATCATCAATTTATTGATAGCAAAAAATTATACCCATACATTTCAATAACTCATAACTGCGCATAACTGCGGTCGCCTGCTCGTTCTCATCATGTTTTTTTAATCACCCGAGTAATGAGCCACGCAAATTTAAACCCAAATTTTAATATATTTTAGACTAATAAGATTGAATTTAAAGAGCAGATCACCTTCGATACATAGTCTATGCGGGCCTTAATATATTTATTTAAAGTATATATTTTTTTGTTCGTGTACAACCCCGAGAGGAAATGTAACCGTTGTTTTTCCGGGTCATCGATTTCCTCAACGATCGGGGGTAACAGTGGGCAGTCAGCTAGCGATTTATGAAATGCGATAATTCGCAGTGAGGTGTATTCACCATTGCCATTGGGGAAGGGAAAGAAGAGGGGAAATGAGAAAGAGCCAATAACAACAGTCAGTAATTGAGAAAGGATCGTGACCGGTAAAGGAATCCCTCCGACGGCAACTCGTGAATCTCATGATCGAACCTCGACCGGTCCTTGATCCTTCAGACTGATTTTCTGTCCCTTTTATTCCTCTCAATGGACTAAGGTATTACTTTCCTTTTGGAACCGATCAACATCACGGGTGGCAATTTACGATTATATCGTCGCACGTTAACACGAACCAACGGGTGCCAATACATGTGGAGTGGTGGAGGTACATGAGTGGTCAGACATTGAGTATGTAAACAAAAAAATGTTTATGTAAATTACCCTTCGGAAATTGAATTTTGCGATTCCAAATCGAATTTCAATGCGACTTAAAACGCCATTGCGTCCGAAATCGGTGGTCATTACAATTACATAAAAGTCATTTACGACTTTCCAATCGATCTTCGATATTCCGCCGATAATTACCCTCACGTAATGATCATTTGTGACGACTGCTATTATATATTAATCCAATTATCGGTGTATATTACTTTCAACGAATGTGAAGTCGATTTTTCCTCAGGCGATTTTTCTGGCGTTTGATTATATTCAAGTTTAAATCGGTGAGGAGAAATGTTAATCAACTGCTCTATTTATTGAATATTATCACTCCACTAATGACATAATATTCAAGCCCCGGTCTTCTTTAGATCTAATGGTTTTTTTTTCAATTTTTTTTGCTAGAATCCGCAGGAAAAACTAGATTTTTAAGACATAGCTTGTGTTTATGGGAATACTAATGGCGTGTGGAAACAGGAATAAGGAAAAATAAGAGTGTGTGTTTGGCCGCCATTTTGACAATTTCTAAATATTGTCCAATGGACAATGGAAAACAAGGATATTTTATTTTACAATGGAACTCTCTCGATTCTCATTCTCCTCTCTGACCTAATTAATTATATTTTATCACAATATTAAAAAATGATTAAATTATGACTTTTCTTTCCGTCCTAAAATTTGAACTTTTCATGCAGATTACTGGCCGTAATGAGTACCCCCGTAAGAGGAAATTATTGCAATAACATCCATGGAATTCTGGGGATTCTAGTGAAAAAGAATTACTAGATGTGGGGGAAGCTGGGCCTTAAACCATAATTTGATCTACACTTCGTTAACTTTAATTTATTTCTAGCTTTACAACCCCCTAGTCGGTGGTTTTACGTCTATCTTTATTGTGTGCCGGTATTAACATTGAGTGTAGAAACCAGACAGTAATTCACCGGTCATTACTCCAACAATTCCAAACTATCGTCGGACCCAACGATTTTTACGCGTATCAGAATGAAGACATGACATCTCATACAGTGTAAACAAAGTCCTTCAAGTACCGTAAAATATAAAAGAATAAATTGCGTATGATTATAAGCTCTGATGATCTTTCAGGCTACATTTTTAGATGGGCATCATCGGATGGATGATTTCTGAGATATTTGATTGATTGAACAATAGATTCCTCGATAGTTCCTCAACTGTTCATCGGATTTCAATTTTGTTTTTCAAAATACACATCTTGATACGTAAAATGCTCTCTATCCAAATAAACTTAAATATCATATTATTATTATTATTATTATTATTATATAATTAGAATATATTATTAATATTACTCCGCTCTAGAAAAAGTTGTCGGGATATTAGCATCAATGTGGCATGTCATAATTAACGCAAAAATTAATAAAAAAAAAATTTCGATACTAATTGCTATTTTATGGCTAAACTTAAATAAATAAATAAACTTTTATGTGAGTTTTAACACTAACTGACTTAATCCTCACTACCATGGAACATTTTTTCAGAAAATCATTTATTTATGATTTGAAAATAATAAATAGAGATTCTATGAACGATCACCATATCGAGGTGATTCAATAAATTAAGTCGTTTGGAATTTCATTATTTTTTCTTAATGATTCACGTCTCGAACAAGTGAATACTCTCTTCAACAATCATTGCTTTGAATAAAAATCATAGCTTCTGTCAGACTGATTGTTTACTGTTCTTTGCAACCGATTTTACCTAACAAATGCATGGAGACGCGATAATTAAATAAAAAATTTAGTAGGACGAGATTCTGGAGTCGAAGAGAAGAGATTATTTATGAATAAATAAATTTATCAATAAATGAAGATGAATTTTTCTGTTACTGTCATATGGTGATTCTCAAACAATTAAAAAAATGTTACTAATGCAAGTGATTGTTAATAACAATATCCATCATCGAATGGGCTTAAAATTCTAATTTCCTCCGCTTCAGGGATTTTTTTAGACTAAAGTTATTATTTTGTTAAGAAATAAAAACAAAAATCTTTTAACGCATTATTAATAATAATTGATAATAATTGCAGAATTTTCAAAAGTAGCTCATAATTTCGGATAGTCATTTGGTGATCCCTCAAAGACATTCGTCAAACCTATAACCGCCATACCAATTTAAATAAAAATTTATCCATATTACCCCGGACTCTCGCCATTACACATAATTGTCATTCATCCTCGAACATGCGCCGAAAATCATTAATTCAACAATAGTAACACACCTGAACGTCGCATTGCAGATTAAATACCTGAATACCCACAATCATTACGTGACACTAATTACACAGCATTGAATGCAACGGGTGTACACGGTACAATGGATCTCAATGCCAGAAATTTCATAATTGAATCGACATTGGTTTTCACTCTGTTATGCGCTACATTTGAACAAGCCTTTGGTTGTTTAACTATTAGCAACGAGATGCAATAGTGATCAATGCACGAGCAACTTGCACATCGTTAAGAATGATAAGCCGCACTGACAACTGACAAATTGTCCAATGAGTAATTGAGTAATTGTCGTGTTTTCACTTAACTAGTTAAATCGATGGAATCGATATGCAATGCGGGTCTATCGCCGTAAATCAAAAGTGAATTGATTATTCGAATTCGGAAGAAATCAGGAATTAATTCTAGTTTTCGTAAATTCTGTGATGAATTCACAGCATTTTTCACGATTAAAATGGTAAATTCACTTGATGATGTGAAATATCTTTGGTGTAATGTTATCCTCACGAAACAATAAATCTGGGTGAATTAAATCCCACCTCGTTAGCCGTGAAAACACGTCGTCATATCTCCCAACAATGTCACCATATGTATTACTCCCTCCGCAAAAAAAAGTAAAAGTTATTTCAACTCATGCCATAAATTCTAACGAATAAAGTGTTTACTCTCGTACAAAACCGCATAAAGTGGAAATGTAACCTTGATTATCGTAGCACATGTCATGAACATTTATTATCCAAATTTTTCTTTATATTTGGTTAAATTATTTTGAAATAGCGTGAAAGATAGTTTGGCAATAATATCCCGGAAACTACGACAGATGGAATTTCTTCCTTCACATTTTTTGTATCAATTATCAATTTGTTCTGGAAAAAAAGTTGTAACAGAAAATAATATCGATATCTCCCTTTAATTAAAATTTAATTTAAAAAAGTACTTCTTCCAAGTATTTTTTTTTTACTTTCATTACCTTAAAACTAATGAATAATTACATTCTCTTTTTCAATCATTGAACTTTCTCTCAGCAGAAATAATAATTGGGGTTGAGAGATCTTTACACTTGATAGACAATAGTATATTACACAACAAGTGCGTTATGGGTTTTCTGGCTTGTGGGAAATTGGTAAAACTTGGACATCTATGGAATTAAATAATAGACAGAACTAAAAAAAGAAGACAAAACCGAATAACTGACTAAATAAAAAATTCAATTTTTTTGTCTAGATTTTATCAAGTGTTTCAAAGGTAAAGAAATATACAGATATTGTCCGGAAGCGATTTTTAGTTATTTTTAGTTGCAATTCATCGCAACTGAAAAATCGGGTTGGAATTTCGTTAGTTGAGATAGCGAAAAAAATTGACGGGAGGAAAATGAAAAAATGAGTAAAAAAGGGGAAAACAAATTGTTACGTGAACATTGGAAGCGAAGAATGGACGTCGAGAAGCCGTCAATTTGTTCTGATCGAAAAAGCCGCAGGGGATAAAGCCCAGGTTGAAGTGAGACAGGTATAAAGTACCACAGGAACATCACCAATGTGCGGTGACGTTCGTTTTTCATGAAGGCGATCTAATTAAATTCCCCG